TGTTTTCTGAGTTAAATATACCATTTAGTAACCTGGAAATAATAAAAGCATGTAAAAACTTAAACTCTGGGAAATCAGCAGGTTCCGACTACTTATTAAATGAATTTTTTAAATACGGTTCCTGTTCAACTCATTTTGTTAATACTCTAAATAATCTTTTTAATAAAATATTTGATTTAGGTTACTTTCCGGAACAATGGACCGAAGGCTTTATAGTACCGCTTCATAAAAAGGGTGACATTAATGACCCAAGTAACTATAGAGGAATTACTTTACTAAGTTCTTTTGGTAAATTATTTACAAAAATTTTAAATGATAGATTAAATACTTGGGCAGAAAAATATCACGTCTACATTGAAGCTCAGTCCGGTTTTAGACAACAAATGGGAACCATAGATAACATTTTTGTTTTGCACGGCCTTATTACGTATATGTTGAATAACAATAAGAAACTATATGCTGCGTTTGTTGATTTTACTAAGGCTTTTGACTATTTAGTTAGAGATATTATATGGTTTAAATTAATTAAATATGGTGTAAGAGGTAAAATGTTAGACGTTATTAAATCAATGTACGAAAGTGTAAGATCCAGAATAAAATATCAAAATGTTTTGAGTGAAGAATTTTCATGTGTGTTAGGCGCCCCCCAAGGAGAGTCTTTATCACCTTTTTTGTTCGCCATGTATCTTAATGATATAGAAGAATATTTTATTATGAATAAATTTGAAGGAGTTGATTTAGGTTTCTTAAAATTGTTTTTACTTTTATATGCAGATGATATCGTTATTCTATCTGAAACAGAAGAAGGCTTACATAAAGGTTTATTGTTATTGGAGAATTATTGTGATAAGTGGAGATTAACTGTAAATATTAAGAAAACTAAAATAATGATTTTCAGAAAAGGCAGATTAAGACATAACATTTCATTCGTATATAAAGGAGAAAATTTAGAAATTGCCGAAAAATTTACTTATTTAGGAGTAGTCTTTACAACTGGTGGATCTTTTAATACTTCTTTTGAAACATTATCTGGTCAGGCTTTGAAGGCATTATATAAATTACAACTAGATTTGATTAAATTCCCATGTATAACTGTGAAACATAAACTAGACCTTTTTGATAAATTGATCTCACCAATTTTGAATTATGCTTCAGAGATAAGCGGTATATATGATTGTTGTAAATTAGAAAAAGTTCATTTAAATTTTTGTAAAAAAATGTTAGGTGTCAGACTACAAACTCAGAACAATTTTATTTATGGTGAATTAGGTAGAACAAATTTGAAATGCAGAAGAATTGTAAGTGTAATAAAATATTGGCTTAAAATTATACAGCTTGAAGATATAAAATATGTTAAAATAGTTTATGATTTATTGTACAGAGAGTTACAGGTAAGACCTAACAAAAAAACATGGGTTAGAAGTGTTAAAGATTTATTACAGTCGCTTGGTTTTAATGATGCATGGTTATATCAAGGCGTAGGCAATGTAGATGTATTTATTAGTTTAGTAAAACAAAGAGTAAATGATGTTTTTATCCAAAATTGGTTTTCAGAAATAAATAACTCAACTAGAGCTCGTACATATGTAATATTTGCAGATTTTAAATTTCAAAAGTATTTAAACTGTATTAATATTGAAAAATTTAGAATTGCTCTGTCCCGGCTAAGAGTTTCTTCACATAGATTCGAGATTGAAACCGGCAGGTGGAATAAACCTAGTGCTATACCTTTTGATGATAGGAAATGTAAAAATTGTTTTATTTTGGAAGATGAATTTCACTTTATTTTAGAATGTTCTCTATATAATGAATTACGAAAAAAATATATAAAAAAACACTTTTGGAAAAGACCAAATATACCTAAATTTGTTACATTGATGAATTCAGAAAATGAAATAGAAATTAGAAACTTATCAATGTATATATTTAAAGCTTTCGATGTTCGAAACACTATTCTTTATAGTTAATCAAAAGTTTGTCCCAAACGCTGTATAACTGTATCTTACATACACTTATTTTCGTTTTGTTTTGTGATTTACTTCCTTATTAATAGGATGGTATCTTTCCTTAGTATTTATTTACAAGTATATGAATTGAGACATGTTGATAGTATATTCTATCTATAGTTTACGTTTTCTGATTGCTAAAATACTGTGTAACTTAATGATATATGTTTTATAAAGTGTGACATTGACCATTTGATTGTATTGTATGCTTTGTTATATGTACTGTGTATGCATGGACATATTGTCCAAATGTACTTTGAAATAAACTTGAAACTTGAAACTTGATCAACTCAGATCAACAAGGCTGGATTTTTGGCAACGAATAACCTCCATAGTGCATATGACAGTTAAAATTCTGGTAAAATGCAACGCTCCGGACTATACATTTTTCCTTCAAAAAAAAAAAAAAAAATAGATGCCGTGGGTATTATGATATTAATGTGTTGTGAGAAATCTTTTAAAGTATATTTACCTTGCTGGTCGTACCCAACTGATAAATAAATACGATGCTATAAAAAATAATAATCCAGTTGTATTTGCCTTTTAAGTTTGACATTTACGAATATTTACTCAAATTGTGACACACCAATTTATAAAGCGTTGACTTCAAACCCTTTTGTTTCAAATTCCGTCAAGGACCTTGGATTATTTCAAGAGTTATCTTACGAAATGTCGGTGGTGTTTCTAAGATGCCCGTTTGTGGCTAAATAATGCACGGAGGGGAAACAGAGGTCTTCCTCCGCTTCGTTGTTCCGTTAGAGTCAGAGCGTTTTCTCTTAGAACGAAAAACGCGAAGTACAACTGTCATCTGTTGTTAGGTTGAGTTCCAGATGATTATAAGCATATTAAAGTATCTTTTCTTCTACCTTCTCTTGAGAATTTCCTGTATCACCAGGAATATTTGATACTGTTAGCATCATTCTTCTACCATATTGTTCTAGATCATTATTTTCACTATTTGCAGTTCGGACAAATTTACGAAGATGATCTATTTCACCTCTCACTCTAGGATTTCTGTTTGAAGAGATTTAGTTTTAGATTCAACAATTTTCTCAACATCGTTTGTAAGCTCCCTTTTAAATCATTGACAAGTTCTACCTTTAGTTTTTGGAACATTTTGCCCACAACCTCTTCCAAATCTTTCTTTGTGCACATAACTAATGGTTCTTTTTCAGTGTCCATCCGAAGTTGCACTAAGATATTCAGAATCTGTGTCTGATTGACGTAAGTTTATGTCTTTTAATTAGACTTATTTGACTTACTTGAGAGTTTTTCTGATCTGGAGAAGATTTATTTCGTCTTTGCAGGCATTTGATGGCTCAAATATAGTTAAATTGTTTGGTGGTGTGGGTAGGGTAACCGTCTTGTTTTGTATACAACAATTATATCTTTATCCCACCGATATATAACACTTTCACATTTTATTTTATCCTAATATTGCTTTTTTATCACTTGATCGTTTCTTTTCCACCTTAAAAATATACTTAATACATTTAATTTTCGAATCAACAAAATTTGCGCCTTTACTGTTTGAATTACCGGAAGTACAATCATTAAGGAGCTTGCTTTCCTACAAGATTTTTCCCATGGGTGAAATTATTAATATGAAAAAGTGTATTTGCTCATGGTTAACTAAGGTTTCCTAACATAACTCTCAGAAATAAATGTTCCCGCACTTATATAAGGGATAGAAATATAGTATTTTGTTTTTTCTACTGGCTCAGAATTCCACGGACAAGTTCTATGGAAAAAATTAACTTCTCCACAGGCATAAAGTCCCGAGTCGATCAAGCCAGGCATACGATTCCCACAACCCGGGATTGGGGAGGGGGTAAATTTATTCATTTTAATTTTTTTTAACATGAGCATTGTTTACTTTAAAAACGACCAAAAATGTTAAAGCAAGAGAAATTGTTATAAATATTTTTATTTATCTTTTAAAAAACAAAACATGTATATAACGGAAGTACAAAAAACAAATGCCACATATTTTAAAGGTAACAGATAAAATATATAGTATCAAAAGCAATACAACAATAAAACAGTAAATAAATGCAAATCATAAAAATCTTAACAAGTAAATGCCACATAAAGAACACAATCATTTACAAAGTTAATCTAATTTTACATCTAGATGTAATCCCCGTACTTATATATAAAGTCACAATATACAAATGTCAAAAAAATGTGAACAATGAAGCCAATGCTTTAAAAGTGTGATTATCAAATGGTAAATGATTTTTTGTTGTTGTCTTTTTGTCATATATTCATATAATTCAAGAGTATTGTACAAATTTTATCATATATCATTAACAATTTAATTTAGTGATTTTAATTATTTACATAGTTCAAAAATATTTATAGTTTATTTATATTCACATTTTAAATAAGTTTTGACATTTATCTCATATATAATCACTGCAGCCACCTAAAACTTTCTATTCATGAAAATCTATAAATAGTAAATCAAAAGTTTATAATCTCTAATGCCCATTATAACCATACTGCTTATAATTTTCACTATTCATGGTTTATACTAAAAAAGGTGCGCATTTATCACCAATATTATTATCTGTGAAAGGGCGGACGAGTATGCTCATAATTAACAGGTTCTTTTGCAGACAAAAATAGTAATTTTTAGTTAACTAGTTATCCAGAAAAAAAATGGTAAGATATCTCACGACCAATATGATATGAGCCGCGTCACGACAAAACCAACGTAATGCGTTTGCGACCAGCATGGATCCATACCAGACTGCGAAGCCGCACAGTCTGATCAGGATCCATACTGTTCGCTTACAAACCCTATTACAAGTAGAGAAACTGATAGCGAACAGCATGGATCCTGATCAGACTGCGCGGATGCTGGTCGCAAACGCATAACGTTGGATTTGTCGTGGCGCGGCTCACATGTCTCTTTGGCGTAAAACCAAACAAACTAACAAATTTGTTTTTATATCACAGTTATTTGATGTATGTATCACAGTTCAAATGTTTTTTTTTGTTGTTTTTTTTAATATTCACAATTCTATGATTTTCAACTTTTTTGTACCACAGTCCACTGGCTGTTTATCATTATAACACAGTTCATTGTGTTGTTGTTTTTTCGTATCACAGTCAACAAGCTGATAATCACAGTTCATTGGTGTTTATATCAACATAACACATAAAGATGTTGAATTACCAATGCTATCGATATCATTGAAGCCAATTTTTTTCTGCTCCCGTTTCGAAAATGGTCTAAATTCTGTACACTATCAGTTTCATCATTTGTCGGGCGTGTCTCAGACATCAAAACTGGCATTATACTTCTTTAGAATTTGGTTGACATTGGAAGTTCAATAGATTTTATTTCTACAGCTTGTATGCCAAGGTCATTGAATCCGAAATGAATAAAATCTGAAAGTAAAATAGAAATCGATATTTATAAGTTACTGCAAGCATGGCTTTCAAATATGGCACACAACAGAAACATTCAGATATTGTTGTAACATCCAATTATCCTTAATTCTAGTGATTATAATATAATACAATAATTATAATAATGTTGATGACTATCATATATAAATGGTCCTTTTAGGTCTGAATAGTATAGCATCAAGTATTTTTACATTTTTTCTTCTTTTTCTCTCATTTATTTTTTGAAATTAAGAATAAAATCATATGAATAAAGTTATAAAAAACTATAAGAGATAAATAATTATGCTTTTTTAAGAAAATATAGTATACTCAAATATGTTATAATTAATTTTATTATCAAAATACCTCTGTCAATGAACTGTAACGTCAAACATAATCCTCGCCACTGTAATTCCTTGTCAGGTCTACTCATGGAAAAGTGTTTATACCCCATTGTATAAGATAGAGAAAAACAGAATCCCTAAAGAAAGTCCAGCACAACAAAATTGAAAATGTTGCAGTCTCTGTTCATGGACGATACTGGAAAGTGCACCGGCTTAAGCAGAATTCAACATTTAACACGAAAATGGTGAACTTTTGAATTTAGAAACATCCGCAGATGTGTTCATATATAAGTCTCGAGTCTAACACCCAGTGTCTTGTTCCTGGCGTGCAGTTATTTTTCTGAATTTATTGCCAAGATCTATTACAGAAGCATCCTCTGATTTGAATGTCTTTTTCGAAAGGGACACAATTTTTGCTTCCTTTTTGCAACGTAGATCTATAATCCTCTCTGAGTAGTCAATATCTTCCAGAATTGGTTTCTCTTCTTCTGGCACATCTTTATTTGTACTGACAGTCATAGAGTCTTCTTCAGAACAAGACACCTTTACCAGTTGATCTCTCTTGTTACACTCCACATCTTTCTTCAGTTTACTTAAGCAGAACGTATATGCATTGTAAAAGTAGAATGAAAAGAAACCAAAGGTTGTATACGGTGTTAAACATAGGCAATGTGTACACATATATCCACAATCTATTTTAGTGTTTGTATTGTAACCTTTTTTAACGTACTCAAAAATCTGTCTCGGAGTCTTGATACCCTTGCAGTCCTTCACATACTTTTCAAACCAAACCGATCCAGCTTGGAGCGCTTTATACACAACCGACGCACAGTTTTGTTCGCGTACATCATATTTAGGATCGTCTGATTTAAATTTCTTCAACCATAATTTTACGTCGTTTATATCAAGTCCGAACACAGCCAACGAAATTGGTATAAGTTTTTCGTTATCCCGAACTTCCTCTTCGAAAGTGCTGTACCATCTAGCTGGGCACTTGTTGTCGTTTAAAATTTGACAACTTGTTGTTCCCTTTTCTGGCCAAAAACTGATATAACAGTCATTAAGTTCTAATGAAATATGGCCAAAGCGTATAGCTGATGATGATGTCTCCCATAAATGAAGAAATGAACGTTTATTCTCTGCGATATGATCCATCGTTTGTGTGTTTGCATTTGTCGAACATGTGTTTCAATCGATATATTTATATGATGACTCTTGTTATTTATAGCTGTACAGAATTTCCATAGTACAATATAAATAGAGCTCTACAGTGTGACATGATGGTTTTCCAGATTTAGATATTTTTAGAAATCTTAACGGTTAAACCCCAAGGTCAGTAACGCTGGACAAAGTTATCGAATGGTGTCTGGTAAATTCAATGTGGCTTGATCTGGAGAGAATCTCCGATGTTTTTGTAAGCTAGCTAGAAATCTTTCTTATGTGGAAAAATACAAATTTTATTGAAATAAAATATTTTGAATATTTTAACCTGCAGTCGATGACTAAATATCATGTGTGTGTGTTCTAAAAATAGATGCGGATTTTCCATTTTGTGTAAAAAAACAACAAAAATTATAACTCATTACATGATTGGAGCAGTACCAAAATTCATGATCACAAAATAGACAATTATCGTTTTTTCGCCAGTTATTACATTTTTCATGCATTAACATTCCAAAATCGGTTAGATCTTCTAAAGTTCATTTTGCAAGATTTTAGCATTTTATCATTCAAGCGCCTTGTCCGGTATATACCGGAATACCGTATTTAGTGTACGTGGTGCTCCATCTCATTCAAAATTGTACGCGACGGTAGTTTAAATTTGTACTCTTTCAATGACCATCAATGACCATTATTATTATTATTATTATTATTATTATTATATTATTATTATTATTATAATTATTATTATTATTGTTATTTTTTGTTGTTATTGTTATTATCATTATTATTATTATTATTATTATTATTATCAATATGGTTATGGTTATTATCATTATCATTTTCATTGTTATTGTCATTGTTATTGTTAACTTATTGTTATTGTCATTGTCATTATCATTATATCATTAGACGGCGCGTGCACGCCCCGTCTAGTAGATATGCATTTGTCCGTATAGCAATGGGGAAAAGTTTAGACTTGGTTTTGTGCATTTTTTTCTGTTTTCACAAAATCACATTGTTTTCAAATTTTCTGATAAAATGAAAGCTTTTCTGATGTACAACATGTCACAGAGCTTTAAGGGATTAAAATAAACATTTAACTGAAGTGATAGTGTCATGTTTGAATATCATATTCTTTTTATAATTATCTAATTTTATCTACCTAATAAATAACGTTCCAATGAGCCACTCTATAGTCGATCGTTCTAAAACTTAACCGTTGAGAGAGGTAACGACTGAAGCAGTGCACTCACTTCATTTGCTCCGCCTCTGTTAAAGTTCGTCTCCGCCTTAAATTGCCGCCAAATTGAATATGCTAGCATTTAGTCTTCGTTGACGGGGTGGGGGGAGGGAACCAGGACAATTATGATCAATATAGCTTAAACCACGCCCACTATCAGAGAGGCGGTACTCCCTGAACCCTTAGTTCAACACAGACCCGTATATAGTCTAGTGACGGGAACCGAACAAGAGGTATCACTAAAATACGCAACGGAAATTATTTTGGCGCTACGGACGCAGCGGAAATATTTTTTGCAAAACAGGCAAAACGTGTGCGACATGTAATTCATTAAAATAATTAACATTTAAGTTATAAAACAGATTCACTGAGTGAAAAAGTACGTTTATTTTAAAACGTATCAAAAATATTTGCAATTGGTTATTTTTAAAGGATTTTGTGTTTTGCCTAGATTTTTAATTACATTTTGTGGTCCCATACCTAGATTCTAGGCGAATATCCAATCTTTTGTTCAGTCAAGAAGTTTAATCTTTTATAAATAAGTAAACAATACGTAACAAAGAATTGATTATATATATCAATTTATTCATAACTATTATTTGATATTACAGACATATTTTCTAACAAACAGTTCGTCCTCAAAATCATTCGAACATTATGCAATTCGCACCAATATTTAAATGGACATATTCTTAGCACATATTGTCTTGAATTTATTTTAAGTATACCAATCATTTCAATTTCACTTGTTATCCCAATTTATTTTGCTTCGACCAGACGTTTCAATCTTTGTCGCTACAGACAAACATTTCAGAATTTCAAACACATACCAAGAACATGGAGAAAAAATTAATTAGTACTTCTGATATTCAACTGTAATAGAGAACAATTTTCAATTCTGATTTTGTACATTACCTGTGACTGTTCACATCATTTGGCGGCGTCTTTGATGTGCAACATCAACATTTAACATGTTATTATTATTATTATTATATCAGAACGCATAAATGGCCCTTAGGAGTTTTAATAATAGCTATTAGTACGTGCGCAAGCAAAATGTATTACGTGACCACGCGATAGCTAGTATGTACCTACGCAAGCAAGAGGCATTGCATGGCCACGCGATAGCTGTTAATACCTCCATGCGCAACGTGGCCACGGGATAGTTATTATACGTACGTTCGCGAGCAAAAAGTATTAAATGGTTATGCGATTGTTAAATACGTATGTGTATGTTATGCACATCGCCGGCTGTTCGCGCGCTCAGTATTTAGAGTATTTCTCAGTCTCAACAGACTTAGGTTAGGATTTAGTTGTACAACACTTATTAGTGTCAAACTTTATTTGGCCTCATTAATATTCACTTTATTGCATATACTTAGAGATTGGGAAATGTCATCTGTCATCGTTGGAAGTATTAAGAAATAGAACATGTCCTATCCTGTAAATCTTTTCTTTAATTTGTATGAAAATTTAAGAAATAGTAGACTTCACACTGCAAAATTCTACTGTCTTTTGAGGTCTTTAGTGACACTTTCTTCTATTAATCCGAGTCACATTCATGGAAAATGGAAAATGAATAATTACTCAATTTTGAAATTTTATATAAGTTGCACCAACAACCAAAATTGAGAATCGCGCGACTATAACGATGCGAAACATGGGATTCCTGTAACCGATTTTTAGGTTGTTTGCAATTTCAAAATGTTCTCTTCTCTGTTAATATACATGTACCTATTTCATCAGATTTTGTTTGTTTTGATCACAACTTTGCGTTTTACGTACAAACACTTTACAGTTAAGTGTTTTAATGACGTTTGTAAATATTTATTTATAAACGTAAAGCATGGGATTCCTGTTTTCTATTTTTAGATTGGTTTGCACTATTAAAAAAAATGTGTTTTTCATATTTCTTTAAACAATGTCATTTTAAATTCTATTTGTAAATGATTTTTGCATTAAATATTTTAACTGTGTTTTAATTAAGCAAAGTAATTTCATTTTTCATAGATTATATTTCATCCAGCGTTATGTAACAGTGTAATGGAACAATTCAACAAAATAATCCAGTCAGCAATAATAATTCAAACAAACTACCAGAAGTACAATTTATTAGATATGATCAGAGTAGAACATATCTTTTATTTTCACCAAGAAAAATTGTGTAAGTAATAGATAGAGCATCGAAACTCGAGGCTTCCTGATTTGTTCGATGGGGCGTCCCCCTCCCCCCGAGTATTAATGAGGTTGTCGAGTGTTTTGATGTTCTTTCTCTTCTTTATCATACACATTCCCTGTTCTCACAATATGAAACCCCAGAAAAAAAGTAACCAATGAAGGAGCATCTGAATATAATATTTCTATCGCTTTCCCTTTCTCTGCCGTCACAATAAGAATTGAGCCAATTAATGGACATGCTCTGCAGTGCGGGTAACTAATTCCTGCCGTAATGATATGTTACCGTACGATAAAAGTATTAGACAAGTTTGTTTTACGAACCAATTAAAAAATGACAGCAAAGTTCACGAACAACCCTCCCAACTTACACATAGTGTAAGGGCCTTAACTTTATATTACTATTTGAGTTGACTTAAATATAAAATTGTGTTTTAAGTAGCTTTTCATATCTTGTTAATACTTTTTTGTAAAAATTTCTTTCTTTCTTCTTCTTCTTCCTCTTCTTCTTCTCCTCTTTTTTTTCTTTTTCATTTTCTTTTTTCTTTATTTATTTTTGTTTGAGATTATGATTAACATTGTGAATATTAAAACTGCCATCTGTCCTCTTATTATGCATTCTATAAGGTATATGGAATTCCAGCTATATCATATCTTATCGCTGTATTTACCACCATATTGCTACTGCGTGATTAACGCATGAAGGGCTATTTTGCATATTTTGACCTCTTTTTTTATTTGTAATGTATTTGGATTTTATGTGAGTGCTGTTTGTAATGTGTAAATAACTTTTTTGTTCACTTCACAATATTTTACTTTAAAATTCATTTTCAACGTTAGCATGAATCTGTAAGCATGCCGCTTTAAAAACTCTGGACCTATTTAGTGGTTGTTTCAATCATTTACACAATGCGAGTAAAATAATTTCCTAGTTTAATTGAATCCTTTTCATATGAATTTACACAATGTAGTTACACATAAATAAAGCATGGTAATATCAATGAAACAATTTCAAATACATATAACTATACTATAATTACATGAAAACTATAGCAACGTAGTTTAATGATCAACATTATTTTTTGTCCAAGCACATTGTAGTATTTTTCGAATTTCTGCTTAGTCTAACTTTGGTTAATGTGTATTAACTAAAAAAAAACCAACCTAGGTATAAAAGGGAGGTAATGGCTGGTGGGTGGTTTCTCTTGAATTTTCAAACTGTATTCAGCTCAGGGAGAGATTTTCAAATATATTTGCATTTAAATACAGTTTTTTACCAATAAAAAAATTCTTAAATGAAGCCAACTGATTATTCTATGAGTCTAGATAAGAAATTTGAAAATGTTTGAAGAAAATTTAATATCAAATGATAACAGAAATTCAAATTTGAACTAAGGGGAGGAGTTTATTATGTAAATAACCATGTAACCACATTGTTTGTAAACATAGCAATGTGATCACATGGGAATCCATACACTTGCAATAAGTACATCAATATATTACTTACTTGATATGATGGTTTTTCTAAGGTTTGTCAGAATAATCCACTTTGCATCAAATGAATTGTAGTTAAATATCAATAAAAGTGCATAAATCCAGTACATTTC